ATACTGAACCGTATCATACTGTACTACCCAGTAGAAACAAGCCTTATTTGGATTTGTATTGTAATACTTTAAAACAAATCTAAAGATTCAAAATACAAATATACAAAAGACAAGTGCACCACACACACACACACACACACACACACACACACACACACACACATATATATATATATATATATATATATATATATATATTGTAAATGTTTCATTACAATGTTTTATTAATTAATAGTGATAATTGTTCAAATACTGTGACCGCACAAATTACTTAAAGGGAGCAGTAAAGCAAACAGAAACAAACAAAAAAAAAAATATATATATATATATATATATAGGAACTTTCAGTGAAAGAGAATAACTGGCTTCATGCTGGGTTAAAAGTGACAAGACGGACATAGTGGGTATTAGCATATAGCAACACTGTGTTCCTTTGCTCCTTCTGTGTGCTCCAGTTTCCACTTTGCAATTTGAAATCTTTCATTGTGGGAGCATTTGGAGGAAGCATTTGGAGTGACATTTGGCAAAGGCCTCAAACCATATTTCCAAGCTGTTTAGAAAGAAAATACAAGGGGAGCGATCGCGAGATGGATTACTAGGGAGGCGATACTGTGAACTTCCTTATCTGTTGACAGCTTAGTTACCGTTAAGAACAAGAAATGTGTTTTTCAATTCAGTGAGAATAGAGCTCTCCTTTGTCCCCATAGACCTGCATTACGGGATTGTGCGATCGGACCAGATAACTCTCAAATAACTGGCCTTGAAAATGAGTTTGGAAGAACGCTTGATTTGGTCTGCGATTCGGATTATTTATTGGCTGCAAAGTTTGTACTTCTCAACAAGAATGTGAGAAACAATTAAAGTTTCGCTCCTGAGCTTCAGCGTAGCATTTTTTAAAGGACAAGTGTCCACAGACGGACATTCAAATGCGACAACATATTTTATCTCTTTTCGCCAGGGTGAATTAATGAGTGCTAATTATGATATGACATCTGTAGATTCTATTCAAATGTGTTTAGCCATTTGTGAATTTCATTACTCGGCTGGGCTCGAGAAAGAGAGAGAGAGAGAGAGAGAGAGAGAGAGAGAGAGAGAGAGAGAGAAAGGGAGTGGGCTTCTAATGCAATGATGATGTTTTCCGGGTCAAGAGTGATAGAAAAACAAATTGACACTCCATTAATTACAATTTGAGATGAAGTAAACACTTTATCAGAGCTTTTGAAGTGCAGTGTAACCTGGGAGTGATCGTGTCTAAATGACTCTTTTGGATTGTGACTCTTCTTTGACGTTGCCTGGCAACATGTGAGTGGCCCTGCTCTTTAGATGGAGAGGCCCTTGATTGTTGAGCTGAGTGACTGTTCAAATGAATCTCTCAATGCTTCTTACAGTGTTTTTTTAGTTGTCGACACCCTTGAGGCATCGGATATTATTAGGGGACTTTTTGACTTGTAGAGCCTATGGAGTATGTGTAACTTTATAATGCTATTTTATTTTTTGCTGAAAATTGTATTAAAATTTGCTGCAGAAATTAAATGTTATGCTTCTTATATTTACCCATGATAATATTTTATTTTAATTAGTTTTTTTTTTATTTAATTTATTTTTATTTAATAAAATGTTTAATTTGAAGTTAATTAAATTTTATTTCTAAAGTTTAATTTAATTTAATATTTTATTTAATTTAAATTCAATGTTTAATTTATTTTTTAATGTATAAATTTATAATTTTTTTATTTTAATTTAATGTTTAACTTATTGTTTAATTTAATTAAATTTTATTTTATAAAAAAAAATACTTTTGTTTTATTTTATTTTATTTTATGTTTTACAAAAAAAATAATTAAGCAAAATTAACAATTGTACTAAATTGATTTATTTCTATTCATTTTGCCTGACAAATGCTTTAATAAACTAAACAACTTACTTCATTTGAAATTGTTAAAGAAGAATGAATTATTACTGAAACTAATTATAAAATTATAAACAAAGGGGGGGGGGGGTCCACTTTGATTTTGTACAATGCCATTTGTTTTTGCTAATCAAATCATCTGGAGGAAATTGGACTTAAATGTCATCTGACATTTTCTTCTTCAATGAGCATTTATTGCAAGCTCCCATGTATATGTTCAGTAAATCCACTTTTAAGGCAAAAATTTTCATACCCTTTCATTCCCTTTAAGGTGAAAGTATTGAACAAAAATAATGGAGGCTGAGAAAAAAAAATGCCACATCAAGTGACTCTTTAAGTATATACTCATTTATTACAGTTTCTTTAAAACATTTAATTTATTAATTTAAAAAATTCAGAAAAATATATATTTTTAAGAAAGATACTGAGGATGAATTTAATAGTAAAAAATATCAAACAGTTGTGATTTTTAACTGTTTTTGTAATTGTAAATATACTACTTTTTACATAATCAAAACAAGTTGATGAAGAAAAGTTCATCTTGATCAGACTGATTTGAAAAGAAAAAAAGAAAAGAAAAGTGTCAGGTAAAAGAAACTATCTAGCACATAATAATAAATTATCACACTTTCAAATATTTGAGATAGCAGGGTAACTGTAGTCATCCAAGCACTGTAGTAATTGGCACTTTGATATCACCTCATAAACGTATGTCTCACTTTGAAGGTGTTCAGAGCAGATTCTTTCAGCTTTGCTACCTTTTCTATTATCTCTTTTCAACACTTTTTAAACTGTTTCTGTAATTATGCAGCTATTTAAATGTGTGGCAGTTTGGGTGATATTTCACTTAGTGGTCCACAATGTGTCTTTTAAAGACAATTGCTTGGCTAAATCCAATATGCCTGGCAGCCTGAGGTAAAAAAAAAAAAAAAAAAAATCAGAGAATAAATGATGGCGAAAGACATATCTGGTCATTTATGGATCTCAAGAGGATTTTTCAGTGCTCCCGTAGGACCCGTAAGAAAGTGGGGAGGCAAATTGGGTAATAATGAGATGAAGGTTGATTAAACATGCAAGACCAATTACTAAAAGAGCCATATATTAAAAGAGCCATGGTCATTCTGCTTTTGACTTCATACAGTTAGTATAATTGTCAACTTTTGTTTTACAGAGTATCAATGCGACTGCAGTAGACACGGTTAAGTTTTAAAAAACCCTATAAGCAGACCACTGTATAAAATTTATTTTATGTAACAAATTGTAACAAAGCAACAGTATAGTGTAACAAATCATCATTTTATTTTCTTCATTTTGAAGCATATTTATCTACAAAAGGTGAACAATTTTAAATGAACTGATTGTCTAATTTGTCATCATTAGTTAAAGTATTGGTTAGCATGAACTAACCATGCATAGCAGGTGTTTTACAATGTTTACTAATCATTGTTAATGTTAAATGATGAAAATGCAGCATTTGTTTGCATGTGTTAGTTCACAGTGATTTAATTAATAATCAATAAACACATGAACAGCTTTTTTTTTAGTTTGAATGTCACCACTAAATATTTAAATGAACACGTTTGTCATGAATATAATTGAACAAACATTAACATAAATATAATTATAAGATGAAAAAGTATTATGAAATACAGTATGTCATGTTAATAAAATAAGTGTGTGACGTTTAGAGCTTAATACTTTTATTAAGGATTCATTAAATCTATATAATTGACAGTAAAGATAAACAATGTATTTCTATTAGCAATAAAGCTGCATTTTTTCAGCATTAATTAAAGACAAATGTTTATTAGAAGACTTTTTTATGGATCATATGACATTGAAAGCTGAAAAAAAATAAGCTAATAAGTTTTATCAAGAGGACTAACTGACATTTAAAAAAAGTTACCAAATAAATGCAGCTTTGTTGAGCAAAAAATACAAATTAAATTAAATTAAATTAAATTAAATTAAATTAAATTAAATTAAATTAAATTAAATTAAATTAAATTAAATTAAATTAAATTAAATTAAATTAAATTAAAAGGGGCCGATCACACCACGAAAGGTGCTGTTTTGAATGATTTACTAAGGGCTGCTAATGTTTTGCGTTTTGCTTATGTGCCCTGCGCACCTCGCGTTTTTAACTGCCTGCTGTGCTTTGCGCTTTTGCCGTTGCGTGACATGCGCTCGCAGTTGAAAAAAGTTAACTCTGAGCTAAAAAAGCATGTTACGTCAGTTGAGTCTTTTTCATTTTCTAGTCAAATGAAAGCAGAGGCAGGGTTTCCGTTGAGGTGCATGCAGTGTTTGTGTTGTCAAGACAACTATGGAGACTTTAGAAGATGGAGGAAAGACCTGTGGTTGCTGTTTTGAGTTATCCGGAGCTGTGTGATTCACAAATCTTAACTCTTACAATGTTATTATAATTTAAAATTAAAATAAAATCAACAGCAACACTCGTGCACATTACGCAGCTGATTCTGTTGTTGCCTGGTGACATAAAATATGCATTGTGCTTCTTTATTTCTTGTCAACAAAAAAGGTAGTGAGGTGCGCCTCCTGCTTTTGGAATGTAAAAATGTGTTTGGTGCGATCGGCCCCTTACGTAGGACGGGTATATTGTACAAATACATTGCATGGGTCAAACTTATATATTTTGCTTTTCTGCCAAAAAGCATTAAAATATCACGTAAATACAGTATCATGTTCCATGAATATATATTGTAAATTTTCTTGTTGTAAATATATCAAAGCTTATATAAGTAGTACAACAATTTGAATAATTTACAGGCAATTTTCTAAGTATGTTGATTTTTTTTGTCTTATCTAACAAAATATACTGTACATCAATTCAAAAAAATTGACACTTATGACTGCTTTTGTGATCAAGGGTAACGTAATAAAATAATAATAAAAAAATGATAATAAAATAAAACTTTCTTAACAAAAATCATTTAAAACTGAAGTTGAAATACGATGTTTGCCTTGCTGACATCTTGAACCTTGTCAAATCCAACTGTAGAATTCTGTGCAATGCTCTTCCACTTACTGACATGCTTGTTTCTCTTCACACTTTTTTTTTTTTTTCCCAAAGGTGTTTGTGCAGTTACTTCAGCCACCGACTCCAGCGAGCAAAGCAAGACTCCTTCAGGCTCTTGCCTCGTCAATCTGAAGATCATGAAGCTCATGCCAGTCTGAAGTAGTGCCCCACGCCGGGGGTCAAAGGTCAGGATTCACAGCATTGGCAGGACAGAGGAACCGCTGAGAGGAGAGGAACAGACCTGCCACTGTTAAATATGACCACAGGGAAAGAGACCTGTGGTGCAGCAAGCGTACAAATCCCACTGACTTATTTAAATGTCTAGAAAGGTCCTGCTGCAGACATTGGCAGAGTTTCAGCAGACGAAACCCAGTGTAAGCACCAAAAAAAAAAGAGAAAGAAAAAAAATCTGAAATGGATGATGCCACTCTGGGTTGAAAATGGATGGACGCTCTATTGCCCTTGGTTGGATTTTGATGGTGTGATCAAAACAGTGTTTAATCGGTACTGTAGAGTTGGTATAAGGCTTTATCAATTTACTACATCAATATATATCAAAGCACTTTGGCCATGTAATAGTTTTATATAATTCATTGCACATGTCACTTTTTATGGCCTGACTTTTTCAAAGGATTTTCAGAACTTCTGAGACCATTTGTCAAGGACTTTCGGAAACAGTGCTGATACAATCCTAATACAGAACTTTTTTTTCACCAAGTAAATGTTTGTGCTTTTTTTAAGTAATACATTTCTTGTTTTATCCTTTGGAGTGCTTCTTAATATTTCCACTTTGTTTTGGTGTAAAAATATTTTTTTTAAAATCATATAGTAAATGACATTTTCAGGAAAAACAGTTCACCAAAAAATGTAAATGTATTGTTTACTTACCCTCTGGTCATTTTAAGGTCCTAGGATAGATGTTTGTATCAGTTTGTTAGTTCTAAAGATATCTATAAACTGGTGTGCTCCAAAACAATGACAACATTTGCATTATATATATATATATATATATATATTTAAACACCCACAGCTTGCCACTTTCACCTATATGAATCAATGATTTTTTTTCACATCACTTTATTTTCAGTTTCTCATTAAATCTTGATCAAATGCTCTCTAGAATCTGACATGTCCCATGTTCTTCTTTGCTTTTCATTTGATGCACTTGACCTTAACTACTGAGGTAGAGATGTAATAAAAACCAAACGCTATTGGTTGTTTTTAAAAAGTTGAGGAGCTACTTCAGTCTCACCCGCCTCAGGTTTCAGTTGATATTACATCAGATTTTAAATGAAAATGCACATGTTGAAGCACTTCACAAGACCTTTAAAGTCCTCACAAGCTGGCAGTTGTTGAAACTTTTGCTTTAGTATTCAAACGGAACATTGAATAGGGAGTGGGGCTTTATTTTTGCGCATCATTCCCTCATAGCAAACTAACTTTGATTGAAGATTTTAAAACATGTATTTATTTGATTTATTTTTCAGTAAATTATCTTACTTAATTGTTCATCTAATGAGTTGCAACGTACCTTAGCAAAATAAACATGTTGGACTCACACAGACTTTATAACTTGAGTGACTTTTTCTTTAGTAGAACAAGATTTTTTTTTAATCTTAACTGAATAATACATTTGGCTACCTCACACACATACAAAGAATCTTCTGAGGTTCTCTCAAATCTAAAACATGCTCACACTACATCAGAGAAGTAAGGACAAATTGATGATGGAATGTTTATTGGAAAATTAAAGAACCACCAAGATCACACCCGGTCATACCTACACCTAATTGTACAAACAGGAGTCAATTATTCCACAGTTACTATGGCTACCTCAAAGGTGTGCTAAAAACTGAAGTGACACTTTATTTCACTATTTTTTGGTCCGTTTGTTGAATTTAGGTCACATTGCATCTACATGCCAAATAATTCTTAATAGATTATACATAGACTGCTAGGTTGGGGTTAGGGTTAGGTTTTGTGTGTTGACATATATTTCCAAAGTTTCTTATAGTCAGTTAAAGGGCAGATAGGCCACCCCAAAGTATTTTGTGTCCCCAGAATGTGTATGTAAAGTTTCAGATCAAAACACCCATCAGATTTTTTATTATAGCTGTTTGAAGTGTCTTTATTATAGCTGAGAAAAGGTTGTTGCTATTTTTTTGCACTGGGCCTTTAAGGCTTGTCCTCCCCACCCATCGTTCCCATGTGCCTGTCAGCAACATGCCTCAATCGGCACCCTCAGTTGCCTCAGGAAGCAGATCTCGAGTAACGTTTGTGAGAAATACTACAGTAAGAACTTTACCAATCAGTATTTGATGCAGTTTTTTTGTGTAGTTAAAACAATGAGTCACACACAATGTCATCACAAAGTTCACACACACACACACACACACAGCGAGGACACACACACAGCGTAGACACACACACACACACATAGCGCAGACACACACACACACATAGCGTAAACACCCACACACAAATAGCACAGACACACACAATCTCACACACACACACACACACACACACACACAGAGACAGCGCATTAAGTTTGCAATCGTTTTGCACGCATATGTGACATAATCACATATGCGTTAATCTCCACTGCTGTGTGGATATCTGTTGTGTTAATGTACAAAATAAACCCGATTTAATGTCCACAATTCGGGATTAAAGTGTCTTCTTTTATAATTGTTCTGACACGCGGCTGTGCTGATGAAGTGAATCTGAAGTGAATCGCTGTACTTCATCACACACATGCACTGTTTAAAAACATTTTAAACTTGTAAAACTCACTTTTGATCACATTTGATGATGATTGATGATCCTAGCAAACTGAACAGACCTTTTATTTCCGGTTGCTTTGCGCTCTTCTTCTCCGTCTTGTTGATATGATTATACGTGTTACTACGGAGACATGTTAATGCGTGCAGCTGTCAATCAATATTGGTGGGTGGGGGACCACACTCCTACGTTAAGTTGCGGTCGATCTAAAAAACTGCTCCAATTGGTCTACCATTTTATGTTGTTAAATTTGATAAAAAAGGACTGGGTGTGTTAATTTCACCCCAATATGACAGTATATACTCTATACTTACACACATGTCTGTCCAAACAGCTTTAAAAGTAGATTTTTCCCCATAGGTGCCCTTTAAATGTCTGTTGAATGTGTGTATCAACAAATATTAAACAGACAGTCTACTAATACTCAAATGGACCATCAAAATAAAGTGTTACGAAAACCGACTTAAAAATTTAACCCAGCAGTTTGGTTTGTACATATTTTACCAAGTTTGGGTTGAAATAACTGAGCAATATTTTAGAGTGTATGTGTAACAAGTATGATACATACAATGGAGATGTGGATCCACATGCATTTATTAAACAGGGGTGCATTTCCCAAACAACAACGTAACTCGTGGCTGAAATATCATGGTACAATGCATCATTTGGGAAAAGAACGATGTAGTGAAGAATGTTTCCCAAAACCCGTAGTTTCTCACAGATCCATCAATTGAACCAGATTAGTTACAATGTAAAATGTCCATAATGATGCTCTAAATGGGGTGGAGTAACTACTTCTTTAGTGAAGAACGTTCGAGGTTACTAAAGTAACCCTTCGTTCCCCGAGGAGGGGAACGGAAGCACTATAAGTGGATTTGATTGTAAAATCCACGCATTGGGAGGTTCGGTTCAGAAGCTACTCGTCTGAAAGAGTATTGAACGGGCCAATTAAGAATGAATTGGCAGCGCAAGCCTGCGCAGGTGAGCGGCATAAGCAATCAACTGAGTATATAAGCTCACCTGGCGCCAGCAGACGCTATCCTTTTTAAGCTGAAGAGACTTTTAACAGCTAAGGGACAGTCATTATGGCGACGGAGTATAGTGCTTCCGTTCCCCTCCTCGGGGAACGAAGGGTTACTTTAGTAACCTCGAACGTTCCCCTTCGGGGGGAACTCCAGCACTATAAGTGGATTTGATAGTAAAATCCACGCATTGGGAGCCCATTGAAAGCGCCATAATGACTGCACCTTACCAACACCCACCATGAGAGAGCGGTCAGGCAAGCGTGACGCACCCAGATCACGAGAGGCGTGGTCCTCCAACGTGCCCTTGGCCCTAACTTATCCTACTTCAAAAGAAGTTTTACGGAATAGGTATCTTTTTTGGGAGTCGCTAGCGTCTAGATAATTCTAGGAATACACAACAGTACGTTGAGAAGCGTGCCATCCCTGTAGGGAGGACGCTGCGGAGACCATCCGCACCCAATAGGGGGAAACAAATAGAATTACATATGGACTAACCCTGAGAAGGGGGAGTGCGCATAAGAAGGTGGTTAGCAGATAGGGAAAGCACAGGTCCGCCCAGGGGGGGGAACTTAACCGTGGCGGAAAAAGCATATGGGGATCACCAGAGGGGATCGGCCATAGCAGGCACCTATACCCAAAACGCGGGCTGACCAGCGGGCAGACCTACTACGTAATGGGCCAGCAAGTGACTCCTCCGCTGAGTCAGTGCTGGGGGCCTTGGAGGAATCTGCAGGGCTCACCAAATGGGGAACTTTACTGACAGACAGGAGGGTGCACATCTCTCCGTGTTAGGGAAAAAAAGGCACCGCAAGCGTGTACAACACCTACCGAGTTGTTTCCTCAATCACCAAAGGTACCTAACATCCTTGAGGAAACCGGCTCCACTCGCAGATTATAAAATCTTGCAAATGTGTTGGGTGTCGCCCAGCCCGCAGCTCTAAAAATGTCTGTTAAAGAAGCGCCACGCGCACACGCCCAAGAGGATGCAACGCTCCGAGTGGAGTGCGCATGCACTCCTGGGGGGCGTGGCTGGCCTCTGCTCAAATAAGCACATGAAATGGCCTCCACAATCCAGTGGGATAAACGTTGTTTAGACACGGCACTTCCCTGCTGCCGTTCCATAACAGACAAAGAGCTGCTCAGAAGATCTAAAGTTCTGAGTACGGTCCACATAAATGCACAGAGCGTGAACTGGACAAAGTAAGGACAGGGCTGGGTCTGCCTCCTCCAGGGGCAGCGCTTGCAGGGTTACTACCTGACCTCTAAAAGGAGTGGTAGGAACTTTGGGCACATAACCCGGGCGGGGTCTCAGAATAACGTGAGAAAATCCCGGCCTGAATTCCAGGCACGAGTCACTGACCGAAAATGCCTCCAAGTCCCCGACCCTCTTAATGGAGGCCAACGCGACCAGCAGAGCTGTCTTCAGGGACAGAAATCTTAAAGATACTGTATCGAGTGGCTCGAAGGGATCAAATCGCAGGCTCGTGAGAACGAGGGCGAGATCCCAAGAGGGCGTGAGAGGGGGGCGAGTTGGATTAATTCGCCTAGCGCCTCTGAGGAACCGGATGACGAGGTTATGCTTTCCCACGGTGCCACCAGCCACCGCGTCATGGTGAGCGGAGATGGCAGCAACATAAACCTTGAGAGTGGAGGGCGACAGCCTGCTGTCCAGCTTCTCTTGAAGGAAAGAGAGCACAACACTGATCTGGCAAGATCGGGGGTCTTCTCTGCGAGAGACACACCACTCAGTGAATAGACTCCACTTCAGGGCGTTGGCGCGCCTCGTGGAGGGGGCTCTAGCCTGAGTGATGGTATCAACCACCGCGGGCGGCAGGTTACCTAAGTCTTCCTCGCGTCTATGGACCACACGTGGAGGTTCCAGAGATCGGGACGAGGGTGCCAGACGGTGCCTTGTCCCTGAGAAAGTAGGTCCTCTCTCAAAGGGATCTGCCAAGGGAGGGCCGTCGCGAGGAGGGAGAGCTCTGATATTCAGGTTCGGTTGGGCCAGAGGGGCGCAACTAACAAAACCTGCTCCTCGTCCTCCCTGACCTTGCACATTAACTGCGCGATCAGGCTCACTGGGGGAAACGCATACTTGCGTACGCCCCGAGGCCAGCTGTGGGCCAGTGCATCCGTGCCGAGAGAGCCCTCGGTCAGGGAATACCGAGCCTGTGCTGGAAGCATCTGTCGAAACAACAACATGACTGTACGCCTGTCCCAAAAGGCACACCGGCCTGCAGGAACGAGGGGTCGTTCCAGGGGCTGAGGGTGCGGTGACACAGCGCAGTAACAGAGACTCGGTGTGTGCCCGCATGCCATGCGCGTCTCGGAACTCGATCTTGAAGCCAGTGCTGAAGTGGTCTCATATGGAGCAATCCGAGCGGCGTGACAGCCGCAGCGGAAGCCATATGTCGCAGGAGCCTCTGAAAATATTTCAGTGGGACCACTAACTTGCTGTCGAGCTCCCTCAGACAGTTCAGCAGCAGGCGAGCGCGCTCTCCGGAAAGGCGCGCTACCATGGTGACCGAGTCCAGCTCCATCCCGAGAAAAGAGATCCTCTGCACCGGGGCGAGTTTGCTCTTTTCCCAGTTGACCTGCAACCCCAATAGGCGGAGATGCCGGAGCACCTCGTCTCTGTGCGCAGTCAATTGCTCCCGAGAGTGGGCTAAAATCAGCCAGTCGTCGAGATAATGGAGTACGCGGATGCCCGCTAGCCGCAGAGGCGCTAGGGCACCCTCCGCGAGTTTGGTGAAGAC